TCTGCTCTCCATGGGCATTGGATCATCTTCGGTGGCAACACTTGTATGGGGGCCGGGGGTGTGGGTGGGACGGCGCATTGTCCTCGTGCAAATAGACTTATTTTACTGAAAACCTGAATAAATGATACATTTCCCCAGGTGAGCAGGACTGTGCCAGCCCACGCTTTATTATTCAAAGTGTGGTCGCCGACCCGCAGCAGCACCAATCCACCTGCACACCTGTTAGATACGCAGACTCTCGGGCCCCAGGGCAGCCCCACTGAGGCTAGAATCTGCACTTTAACAAGATGCCAGGTGGTTCCCGAGCACATTTAAGTTTGGAAAACACTGGCGAATGTTTATTTATAATTGAGGGCTTTTCTTTCCAATATTCAAAGGTAAGGTAAAATTTCCCTGTGATCATCCCATGGCTTCTGACAGAAGTGCAAATGTTATCAAATCCACGTTTCTGCCTCCATTCTCCTAAAGCACCGGAGAGTTGTTCTTCCTAAAACACACACCACATGTGGCTGTCAGGTAGTAGAACTAAAGGGGAATGACCGACGTTCCCAATTTCGAGCCAAGAACTTTACCTTCCAGACGGGATTCAGGCAGACGAGTCTGTAGTCTGGTTTTCCCCAGACACAGGAGAAACCTCACAGAAGAAAGTTTCTATTTGAAAGCTCTGAGGAAGGGATGTGGAAGATGTCCTCTCTCTGTTCCAATGTGACCTGCTCTGTCTTGGTAGCCTGACTTTCACCTCTGGGGGGCCCCTCACTGGGGCTCCGGGACACCTGCTGCCCAGAGCTAGCAGCTGCCACCTCCGGCTGTGACATCTTGCTCCTGCTTCTCTTCTGGGTTACCAGCGTCCCCCGTCATGGCCCTAACAAGTGGACATCTACATTTGTCACCAGTAACGAGGAGGTCACTACCATTCAAGCAGTCCCTTCTACTTCTGTAAGCTTTGACTTTTCAAAGTTCCTCACGAATACACCCCACCTGACTCCTAAGGGAGCTATCTTGTAAGAGTTCCACCTGGCTCTTCAGCTGCCAAGTTCTCTACCTGGGACAGTAGCCCTTAAATCCACGCTTCTCAAACTATAATGTGTCTTCAAAACACCTGGGATCTCTTGTTAAAGAGTGTGGGAGGGCCTCTGAGCTTTTGCCTTTCTCAGGTGATGAGAATGCTCCTGACCAGAGTTTGAGTGGCAAGATCTTAGGTTTAATTAAATCTACCACCAGAACCACTGAGAACAAATCTGTATGACCCGCTGGATCAGAAAATGATGTCCAAATCATCCATTTTTTGGCCACAAACCTTGTTTCTTTGATAGTTCCTTATGTGTCATGGTTTTTCCTTTTCTTATCATCTCATCAACTGTCTTCTGGAAATGCTCTAATGAACATTGACAAACCCTGCAACTGTGGCACCAAGCCTGATAGGTTACAGCTCTAACTGAACAGCACTGGGGCAGAGAACCACCTGGTTCAAATGAGCTCAAGACTGTGCAGTCGTGTTTAGGAACGATGTGGTTCTATGGAGGGATCTGGAGCCTAAAATCAACCAAGGCCTCCAACCTTTCCCTTTTGTACGTGCCCTTCTTGCCACAATAGAGGGCAAGATAAACTAAGTCTTCATTTGAAGTGATAATAATTTGACGTCTGACCCTTTAAGGGAAATTTGACAAGACAATCCTAAAGAGGCGATGTCTTAATCTAAAGGCAAACTCTCTACTGGTGTCATTTTAGGCTCCATGGCAGATTGGTGGAAAAGACACGTGGCAAGGGGGCCACTTAGAGCCTACAGTGACGTAGCTGCTTCTTTTACTTTCCCTGAGGCTCCCAGACACGTGACATGCACTGAACTTAGTTCTGCAACACCTGGGGCTTGAGAAACAATGTCCACAAGGTTCGTTGATTTGGAGCAATTCATTTTTTCAAATCAGCCATGGGCTAGAGAAGGGCTCATGAAGACAATTCAAGTCATTGCTTCCAAAGCCAGGCCAGCTAGGAAGGAAAGCACCTTTTGGCTAGAAATAACTGTCCCAGTCAAGGGAAGAAGTGAGGCAGCGACACTGCTCCAGGGAGAACTCTGGAACTTCCTCCAGCATGGTGAGCTTGGGAGAGAATACGATGGAAACCAAGGCAAGAGTTTCCTCAGTAATCACTTAAGGAAAGCTGAAGGGGGGGTTCCTGGGACAGGATGTTAAAATGAAACCATTTTAGTTTCAGTTTTCACTGAGGCTGCAAGACAACAGACACCCCGAGGTAGAGTGAAGTATGCAGATCTTGCAAAAAAAAAAAAAAAAAGATGGTGGAAAGCCAGTTTTATACCTATAGGTGACCACCTACATCCAGCCTGCAAAAGAAATGTAGAAGTTGAGAAACAGGTTGACTAGAAGATGAATTATGGGGAGAACTGTCTAGTGTATTAGCAAGGGCTTCAATGTGGCCATGTAACTAGCTTGATATCTGTCCCTGGAGCTTGAGAGACACAGTGGATTACTGTTTGATTCCCATGGGAAATCTAAAAGTCTGACTACTCTGATGGCAGAACAAAAGAGAGGTGACTGCAAGGTTCAGCTGCATGCCCAGAATTTGTTTGGGCAAAGGATGTGTAGTGTTTGTCAGGGGCCAGATGTGGGCCATCAGAAGAGAAAGCTAAAGTAAGATCTTTGGGGCAGCTGGGTGGCTCAGTTGGTTAAGCATCTGACTCTTGATTTCAGCTCAGGTCATGATCTCAGGGTCATGAGACGGAGCCCCGTGAAATGCCTGCTTGGGATTCTCTCTCTCCCTCTCCCTCTCCCCCTCTCCTCCTCCCTCCCCATACTCTAAAAAAAGGTAAGATCATCTTAGATTCTTTCTGTGGGACTGTCTGGTGGCACAAGGGGGCCTCTGCAGAAAGAAGCTAGAGATCTACCTGCAGATTTGGGGCTGTGGAAGGAAGTGACCGGGTAACCAGCCAGAGAAGAATTATATTTGTCCATGTCAGGGAAAGTGCAGGCGAGAGATGGCAGGGTCACCAAAATGCCCATGTGAGAGCCCTTAGGATGAAGATTCAGCCTTAAACACCCACCAGAACTTGGGAGTATGATGCCAACTCACAGCAGGATCAGTCAGGTAACAACTCTCCTACCTCTCACCTCTCCTCCTCCTCTTACTGTGGTCATGAAGCATTCGAAATCATTATTAGCCAGATATGGGAGGGGGGCAAAAGCACAAGGTTAGGTGTGAGGTGGAGAGACGCCAACTGGCCTGAAGCAGGTCTGAGCTGGGAATAGGGAGTAGTTACATCTTTGATTGAAATTTAAAGTTTGATTATTACACTGACCCAGATATATTAATTATTGACTAGAGAATGTTTTGTTACCTGAAAGGAACAAGAAAAGTCACAAGATTTGTCCAAAATTTCATCCATGGATAGGAATGAAGTGGTCCCACAGGATATGTTTAAAGACATGAATTATGTGGCCTTATGATTATATCCTATGGGCCATTGCTTGTTCAATGTAACGGTGATTCAGTGGATTGCAAAGTGAAATCAGACCATTCTGCTATTCTCGTTGCAAGATTCATTAGCTTTAGGATATGTTCCTGAGTCAGCTAAGGCTTATAGGAGAGACCAGATTCATACTGTCAGAACCAGAAGTAGCACTGTGCATAAGCAACCCCAACACCTCATTTAGGAAATGGAGGTCCAGAGATCAGAAAAGATTTTCCCAAGCTTGCACATATAGAGACATCAAAAACAAACAAACAAAACAAAATAAAAACAAAAACCACAAATGTATATAGTATCTGCTCACACAGACCATATTTAATTAGGTAGCTTTCATTGTGAAGGCCAAATTTCTTCCTGATTCCCAGGTCTCAGGGAGATTAATGTAAAAGTATAAACAGGGTTCTTGACAGTATCTAAAAAAAAAATTTATGCTAAGAATCTAGAATTTATCCTTCCCTGCTGTCCTCTTAAGTTTAAAATATAGCCACTCTTATTATAAACATCTTTTTGTTGAAGGCTCTAAGCCTATCTGTGAGCACATACCTGCAAATGTATTCATTTTTCATTATCTGTAGTGGTCACTCAATACCTCAAAAATTTTCCCAAGCTCATGTATTTGTCTTATCACAACACAAGATGTCACATGGTGCTTGGAACAGAAGAGTGTTCAGCAAATGTTTGTAGAATGACATAATGACTAGATTCCAGTTTCACTGGCTATGTGTTCTTTATATATCAACAATACTGCTTCCAGAGAAAGAAAAAAGGCAACATTTCTGGTCATTCTTGGGGACCTGGAATCCAGAGCCTAGATTCATGTTAACTTTTTATGGATTTCCATAACTCAGGGCTGCTAAGTGGAGGTACCTAGCCCTTCAGCACACAACGTGTGGCCCTATATGCCCTTACTGACCTTCCCACCAGCTTTCCTATGCTGAACTACTCTGCAACAAAAGGCACTCAGCCCTGGGATCACTTTTCATCCTGTGATGAGAGAGAAACACTAACTCTTACTGAAAAACATATTTGATTCATGACCTGGTCAAATCCCTGAAGTAATAGACACTCTGATTGACATGGATGGGTATCTGAGGCCCCCAGGCATAGATGAACATAATCCATTTCTTAGCCCTAGTTTCTTCAGGATTTCTTAGGTCCTTAGTGTCATAGTCTTTCAATGATTCACCAATGATGGATAAGTGCCCAAGAGTCTAAATTAGAGGAGAGTGAAGAAAGTAATTCATTATATGTGATGTGGCCTCATTGTCTAAATTCCAGTAACATAAGCCTAAGACCATAACATCAGCTCTCAGTAGCTGGAGCAATCTCTTACCACTACAGCCTGGGTGGGGACTGTCTGGGTACCCTCAGTCCTGGCTGTTCCTGACCTCTGCTGGGGTTGGGGGTGGCAGAGAGGCAGCCTGGGAGCCTCCAGCAGGAGGACCCTCGGGAGCTCCCAGGAGGGCAGGAACACCTGGGACCACCTCAGGCACAGGGAAGACAGACAGACAGAGCCTACCTGACTCCATCCTACCTTCCTTCTTGGCCTGGGCTTCCTCAGAGCCACCGGAGCCCCTAGGGAAAGGCTGGTGGCTGAAGAGGTCATCACACAGGAGGCTTCGGCACAGCTTGGCGAGGAAGCGGAGGACATATCCGACGCTGTTCACCACGGGCAGGCTCCGCAGGTGCTGTTTCCCGTCGAAGGACGCCGAGACTGGAAAGCCACAGAGCCAGCAACTCAGAACGGGGCACAACAAAGCCACAGGTCTGTGGGAGGAGGTTTTCGTTTGTCCAGCTGTGCTTTGTTTTTAACTAAGCTTTATTCGGATTTCACCTGTTTCTTCGCTCAATGCCCTGTTTGTGTTCCAGGATCTCATCAGGAGCCCACCCCAGGTTTAGTTGCCAGGTCTCCTTAGTCTCCTCTGGCTTGGGACTGGTTCCCGGTCTTTCCTTGTTTCGCATAACCTTGACAGTTTTGAAGAGTACCGCTCAGGTATTTTGTAAAATGTCCCTCAGTTTGGGTTTGTCTGATGTTTTCCTCATGATCTGACTGGGGTTAAGGTTTTGGGGGAAGAAGTGAAGTGCCCCTCTCATCACATCAGATCAGGGGTATGTGATGTCCGTATGACAACACTGGGATGTCAGCCTTCATCACCTGGCCATATGGGGTTTGCTGCATTTCTCCACTGTACTCTCCATGTTCCATTCCTTGGAAATAAGTCAAAAGGTCATGCCCACCCTCAAGGGTGGTGCAGGGATTAAGCTCTACATCCTGAGGAAGGGAGAGTCTCTATATCATTTGGAATTCTTCTGTAAGAAAGAATTGTCCATTCTCCTTCATTCATTCATTCACTAATATCAGTATAGACACAACATATTTATTTTGTACTGTGGGTTATCTAATACTGTGTTATTTATTTTGTTGCTCAAATTGTTCCATCTTTTGTCTTTGTGTCCTTGTGACATGCCTCCATTTTTTTTTTCTTTTAGCAACTTTTGGGTTACTGAAGCTTCAATATGTTCAGATTCATCTTATATTTTCCCTGCCCTGCCCTAAAATCAGCTATTTCTCCAACAGCCTGGTTCCTTGTTCCTAAAGAGTGATATTTAGAAACCAGGATTTGGGCACTGGATATGCTCATTGCTACTGGGGTGTCAGTAGCTCTGGGTCTTTTCAATGGAGAGAACTAAGAAATATATGCATGTATACAATCCTATTAAGATTATGTCTCTATCTTTCTGTCTATATATATACATAGAGAGAGAGAGAGAGAGAGAGAGAGATGGATAGAGCTAGGTCAATCAATAGATTGATAGATAGGTCTAGATCTAGATAGAGATATCCAAATAAACCTGAGTTTGTGCTGAGGTCTCTAGCTCTAATCCAGCATCACAGAATTCAGGGTTCTTTCTACTCTTCTGGGGAGGAGTCTTTAAAAAGAACAATAATCTCTCCATAGTGAATCTAGATGAAATTTGATTTCTACAGCATTACCAGAATTTAGAAGAAACATGTTTCTTCCAGCATGTTCCTTTCTGTAATTGTCCTCGCAGCCTCTCTCACCCCATGAAGCTTGCATACCAGCTCCACTGTGAGGAACAAAGGAGCAGACCCTAAGAGGATATTTTGCTCCCAGCTAGGCCTCAGCCACTCATTGTCAACACCTAGAGGGCAGGTCTGTTATTCATGTTTTATCTCCCAAAGGCAGGCACATGGCAGGGGCTGGGGCAGGGGCAATACCAGAGCTAGTTTTGATTTTAGAACTAAAACAAAACAAAACATTTTAATTAGAAATCAAAAGAATCCATTTTTTTGTGTGTATAGCTCTTTATAGTTTGACAGGAGCATTCATATCCATCACCTCATTCAGGCCGCCTAACTATCTGGTGAGGACAGTAGACAAGAGGTTATTACCCCATGTTACAGAGGAGGAAATTGAGAAGAAGGCGTAGAGCAGTTTTTCTGGCTCATGCGGCCTCTAAGTGGCACTTGCCGGTCACGTTAATACTCCGCGTGACTCTGGGAGAGCCGGCAAAGAGCTTGCCCACGCGCTCACTAAGGGGTTTATCATAGCCACTCAGACACTCTGGAAATTCCCTCTTAGTGTTAGCATTGCTGTTGCCCTCCAATATTTTAGAAGACCCAGTGTGATGGAAACTGCACCCATAGCAGTAGAGTCTGGGTCATCGGGTCTGTCCCATAGATCAGTGTGCATACACTCCCAGAGGTGCCTGGAAGGGCCACCTCCTAGAAGCAGACATGGCATTCGTGACACCATAAGGTCTACCCCTCTGGGATAGTGTGGCTCAGGCAGAGCATGAGGGTTATGGGGTACTGCAATACTGCTCCTTTAGCCTTTGGGGTGGCCCTGGGCACACCCATGGCAGTCTGGTTCCTTTAGCCCACTGTGCCAGCACCAACGTCATCATTTTCTGTGTTGTGCCATGGGAACGTTGAGAAAGCAGTGCCCTAAGGATTAGGTTCTAAGTACAGAGTGGGGGAGTCTATTTCTCCTTGAGTCCCTCCCTGAGCTTGGTGCTAGCTTGGTGCTATCACAGCCTCGCTGAGCTTCCATATCACCATCAGTAATGTGAAAGACCACCTTGCCACTTTGCGACCTCAAGGAGGCAGCATGAGGAGTCCCCCTGTGCTACTGCATTCTCCAAGACACTAAGACCAAGGGCTCAGCTCTGGACTCCCTGGGAATCCCTCAGCCAAGGGAAAGTTGGCAGCAGGGCTCTGCCCAGGCTTGTGTTGGTGGCAGGCACTGCAAAACCTGCTCCCAGTGCCAAGGCCCCTGAGGCCACAGAAACGCTGAGCAAGAGAGCAGGGGAAATGGGGTTGGCTCTCCCAGCTTAGGGAGAGGGAACACAAAAAACTCAGATGGGATTTGCTCAAGAACGTGGGCACACAGTACAGGAAGAGCTTTCTCTTAGCACCATGTCAGTGTCTTGAGCCCTGCTACTCAGCAAGGAAAACGACAAGGCCTTCAACCTCAGAGGGCAGCCCAGGTTTGAGAACCTGGCTCTCAGACAAAAATCGGGCGAAGAATGGCCAGCAAGCTCTCAGAAAGCTGACAACAAGACTCTCCTCTTGGCCTCTCTTGGTGCAGTACTTCTTCCTCCTGTCTCTGCTTCTGCTAAAGTTTCTTAAAAGTCACCCTGGGTCAGACACACGCACCTGGACCTTGCCAAGTTCTATTTTAATCAGTTACCAGCGAGTCAGACCCAGCTTCCCGCTTAGAGGGAGCTCTAGAAGGTGGGCAGAACCAATCACAGCTGGGGAAGCTGTGTTGGACAACCTCCCCACCCCCAAGCCCTGGAGATCAAGGGTTAAAAAAAATGCCCAGCGGCATTAGAGGCCCCCCTCCCGTCCCCTCTCCTAGACAGCAGGCAGGGTCATTCATCTGTACCACCCCCACTGCTGGGGAATCTTCCCGCTATTCCCTAGTGATAGGGAGGCCATGCCCTTGATACTGGGCCAAAGAAGACACCAGTCTGTCCCCTTGGAACTAAGACATCTTGCAAAGACCTGGTGCTCCAGGGCTTAAGGGCAGGTGGTGACAACAATTGTCTAGAGAGCCTTGGGGAGCGTGGAAAGAACCTCTGGAGGCAAACATTTGAAGGGGGCAGAGCTCCCAACTCTGCCTCTCACCTAGGGTGACGCTGCCACTCCCACTGGAAGCTGCTGGGGCGGGGCTGAAACTGGAGGATGGTGACAACGGGAGAAGGGACTGACCCTGAAGCATCTTTTAAAAAAGACAACAACCTAGCCCTTGAGAGGGGCCTGGGACCATAAGCTTCCCCACTGCTCAGGGTGCCATGAAGAAAGAGTGAGGCAGAGTACAGGAGAAGAGAGAGTGACAAGGGATGATATTTTACACAGAGTGGTCAGAATAAGGCTCTTGGATAAGGCGCCATTGGAGTAGAAACCTGAAGAAAGTCAAGGAGCAAGTCACACTTGGATAGCTGAGGTAAGAGCATTCCAGACAGAAGAGCAGGTACAAAGACCCTGAGGCAGGGGCATGGCTGGAGATAGCAGAGGGAACAGCAAGGAGGTCACCATAGCTGCAGCAGAGTGGGGACTCAAGAGGAGTGACCAGGAGACCAGAGAGGTAGCTGGAGCCAGGTCACTTAGGGCCTCTGGGTCCTCGTAAAGACATGGGCTTTCTCTTGGAGTGACATGAGAACCACTGAGGGTGCAGCGCAGAGGAGGGGCATGATCTGACTTCAACTTTTAAGGAACCAGAGTGGTTGCTGTGAGTGGTGAAATGTGGCTGGATTCTGGATATATTTTAAAGTTAGAGCAATAGGATTTACCGATGAGCTGGAAGTGGGGGATTGTGAAAGAGGATTCAGATGTTCAGTCTTCTTGTCCAGGTCTGGAAGCCTTTTCTCCTCAAGCCCAGAGAGAGGCCTCCAGCACACAGGCTCATTTAAGGCCCTGGAGCCCAGCAGATGGAAAACAGACTCTGGCTACAACCACAGTCCCCCCAAGCCTGATTATGGCTTCTTTCCTCTTCAGAGAGACACCCATGCCCTCCTCATACAACCTGCCCCAGGGCCTTACCTGACACCATCTCGCCACCATAGCCCTGTTTGACCAGGGAGAAGACCAGCTTCTGCTGGTGGGCACAGTCGATGCACGCTTGTACGGCTTGCTGTAAGACCGCCGATGGCCTCTCAGGCCCAAAGCGCTCGGGGAGCTGCTGCAGCTTCCTCCTCTCCAGGTACGGCCCTGTGTTGGCTTGCTTGTTGATGTAGAGGCAGACTGTGGAAACAGAGACCCACAAAGCCCTCAGCATCGGTCACATCAGACCAGGGGGCTGTTCCTGTGTGTGGGGGGGAGGCTCAGCTGTGCCCCCCTTGGCCCTCACCTTGAGAAAGCTGAAAAAAAACAAAGGTGGGACTGATTCCTCCCAACTTGAGAAGTACAGGAGGCAAAAGAGCCCATCACTCCCAACTTCCATGGCTCGCTCTCAAGAGAACCCTTGGTTGGAAACAGATAGACAGGTGGGTCCCCTCTGATGTAGTCAAATCGGAATTGCAGACAATTATGGAGGTCCGTGTGGACCATGTGTATAAATGTATTTCCATACTGGGCATGTACACATACAAAATCTTCCCTCCTCCTCCAAAGGAGCTGTTAAGCTACACATAATGTTTGCCAATTTTTTTTTGTTAACTTTCAGTGAGTAAAAAAATTAAGATGATGCTGATTACACCAAAGACTATATACTCAATGAATTTCTAAAGAGAGTGCTATTTATAATCTCAGAGATATTAAGTACTCAGCTGCCCATTTAGGTGAGCCCAACCAATGGTCCTCACACTTTTAAAGTCATACACCCCATCGGTATATTTGAGCACATGCCCCAAATGTGTTTATTTATTTGTAGGATATATACATTCTTGACTGTTTTAATATATTGCATGCATTTTAAAAGGTAACCAAGAAATAGGAAATTTTAAAGGATGAAATAAAAATAAGTATTAATGGTAGGTGTCACATTTTCTTCCCTATGGCAACGACTCCTCATCTATCTCCCCACCCCCCAACCCAGGTTATGAGGATCTTACCTTGGGGGTCACAAGAGCAAAGAAGTGTTCAAAAGGGACTTGAAGAAGAGACCAATAGGATATGGGAAGGATTAAACAGTAAGAACAAAGGTGAAGAAAGTTAGTTTTTATTAAGCCCCTACTCTATTCCAGGCACTTCCTATATTTCCTCTTGTTTGAATCTCAAGACAGGCCTGGGAGTGGGATATGATTACTTCCTTCACTAATGAAGAAACTAGTGAAGAAATGAGGCTTAACGGTTGGATGGCTGCTCTAAAGTCTAAAGTGTAATTAGGGGTGCAACAGGGATTTGGACTCAAGTCTTTCTGCTGTCAAAGCCTGTGCTCTTTCCACTCCACCAGGCTGCCTTCTCTTGTACTCATCCCAGATGATTAAGGAAATCTAATCGGTAAGAGACCTTCATGCCGGGCACTGTGCTAGGTAGGCCCTACAGATTCGCGGGGTCCCTGGCTTCACAGAGCTTGGGGCCCCGCTGGGAAGGCGGAGCTACTCAGAGCACTAGAGGAAGCCAGGTGGGACTGTCACTTCAAGTCACACTGGGGGAGGTGCTAGGAGGGCCGATCCTGGGGACCCTGGCAGGGAAGTCAGTGAAGGCCCTTCTGGAGCAAGGTATGCCTGAACTGAGATGCAAGGGATGAGAAGGGTGACCAGAAAGGAGATCATTCCAGATAGAGGGAAGGCAGTGTGTTGGAATGCTATGGGGGAGCTCTAGGGACTGAGAGGAGAGCAATGAACTGCAGGGCTCTGCTGGCCACATAAACAAGTTTGGTTTTTACTTTACCTAAGAGCAATGGGAGGGAAAGTGAAAGGATTCGAGTGGGATGGGAGTAGGGGTGGCTTGTGATGAGGCGGACAGTGTGTGTGTGTGAGAGAGAGAGAGAGAGAGCAATGCCATCCTACTGCTGGTACTCTTATGATAGAAATGTTTGTTGGTGGACACCCCGTAAGAAAGACTGGACTGAATTCCACTCTGACTGGATTGGAGACACCAGGTGGGATTAAGGGAGGTTAGGGTCCTTAGGAGATCTGGAAGCACAAACGCAGGGATGGAAGCTCTTCAAGGTAAGCAGGCTCACTCTTGGTGCAAAGTGAACGTGGCTCTGAAAAGAAAACGCTGGGCCACCAAACCACCTTTTCTAGTCCCACCCCAAGGCAACCAGCTGAACCAGAGATGCACTGAAAACCAAGTTTCAAGTAATCCTATCTGTGAGACCCTTAAGCTAATGTTCTCAGAGAATTTGGTCGTCCTCCCCGCTGTCTAGCTAACAACTAAATCTTTCATTAGCGCTATCTCAGTGGCAGCTCTCCAGTTCACAGAGTAACTGCTAGATGGCAGGCTGGCCATCACAGCCTTACAGGTCATTCAGCTGACCTACCTGTGAGAGCCTGTGGGGCCGCCAAGCTGGGTATGGTGGCTGCATCCTGAGGGATGGAGCTGAGGTCGGGCTCCGGTGTGCTTCGCGGAGGTGAGAGGGCTAAAGGAGTCATAAGAACCCGAGACTTGAGCTGCAAGACAGAGCCCATTTGGTCAAGGAAAATCTGGAAATGCTCTCTACACTTGCCCCCCAATTTTTCCTGGATCTCAATTAACCACTTCTCCTCTATCATGTTTCCACACCTTTCTATTGTTCAGCTAAGGGGCTGAACTTCAGATTCAAGCTCACAATCAAGATTCATGTTTGGGGTCAAATTCAGAGATCAGCTCCGCACCCCACCCTTACAGTGGAGCCACCCAGGAAATGACTGGTGTCAGGCAGTGAGTGTGGGAATACAAGAGGTATGAACAGTTGAAGCCTATGAGCCTTCTGAGTGCAGAATGCATGGTAGGGGACAGTTCCCAGGCTTCGAATCCCTAGAATCCTATGGACAGGGCTTTCCCAACAGCTACCCAGGGACAAATTCCGAAGCTCTCCTTAATCTCTGCCGAGCTTTCAGCTCACATGGATCACAGGATCCTGCTAGAAAAGAGAGCAGAAACCGTTCCTCCAAGGGGCTGCCATACTGCTCAGTGTTTATTTCCTACAGCAGAAACTATCAAGGGTAGCCCGAGTGTGGACATGAGCGTATTCTCTGGTGGTGAGAAGCAGCTGCCTTGAAGGACTCATTTGAAATCACAGATGAGGAGCTGATATTTGCTGTTATGGAATAAGATGGAGATGACTGGTTGGTTGATCGTGTCAATGCCAATAAGTCACTCTCCATACCAAGGTTTGACAGAAAATTGTCTAATCCTTGTTCTCCACCAAAAAATAATGAATAATTCAGTCACTTCATCTCTTCACCACTGACCTGTGTCTGTTCTCTACTCCAGACCGATTAAATCATTCTTTGGGAGTGGGACCAAGGCACCAGGAGTTTTAAAAGGTACTCAGATGATTCTAATACGTAGTTAAGGTTGAGGCCACTGCTCCGCTGCTTTTCAAATTTAAGGTGCAATCAGTCACCAGGGGGTCCTATTAAAATATAGATTCTGATTCAGGAAGTCTGGGGTGGGGCCCGAGATTCTGCATTTCTAACAAGCTTCTAGGCAGTGCTGATGCTGCTAGTCCGTGGACCACACTTTGAGTAGCAAGGGTGTGCATTCTGTTTTTAATATACACGCAGACCCCACCCCCTATACTGAATCACCAATATAGAGTTGATATTTAAGGCCATGATAATGGGTGAGCTCATCAGAGAATAACAGAAGGAGTATAGATGGAGAAGAGAAAAATCAAGCACTGAGCCCTGCAAGACTCCAACACGTAGAGTTGGAGAGATGAGGAGGAACCAGCAAAAGAAACCAGGAAGGACATCCAGTGGGGTAGAAAGAAAACTGGGAGAGTATGGTCTTGTGGGAGCCAAACAGAGAAAGCATTTCATGAAGAAGAGAGTGGTCAGCCATGTCAAAACCTCTGATCAAGGAAGACTAGAAGTGGCCTTTAGATATAGCAACTTCTCAGCAAGAGAGGTGGTAGTGCAGAGGGTGGGATGAGAACCTGATTGGAATTAGCTCAAGAAATAACAGGAAGGGAAGCACTGGGATCAGGAGTTAAAGTCAAGTCTTTCAAGGGGAGCCAAAAATTAGCTATAGCAAGGAGGAAAAGTCGGCTCAAGTAATTTTTGCCCCACAGCGAGATACCACCTCACACCCATTAGGATAGCTCTTATCAAAAACAAATAAAAAATAATCAGTGTTGGTGGGGTGTGGAGAAATCGGAACCCTTGTGCACTGTTGGCAGGAATGTAAAAAGGTGCAGTATAGCAGTCCCTAAGAAATTTAAAATAGAATTACCCAGCAATTCCACTTCTGGGTCTATATCCAAAAGAACTGAAAGCAGAATCTCCAAGAGGTATTTGTACACTCATGCCCATAGCAGCACTATTCACAATAGTCCACAAGAAAGCAACTACCAATGTCCATTGACAGATGAATGGGTAAACATAAGGTGGTATATATACACAAAGGAATATTACTCAGCCTTAAAGAGGACGGGAATTCTGGCACATGCTACAACATGGAGGAGTCTTGAACATATCTGCTAAGTGAAATCAGCCAGTCACAAAAAGACAAATATTGCATGATTCCACTAATTTAAGGTACCTAGAAGAGTCAAGTTCATTGAAACAGGAAGGAGAATAGTGTTTTCCAGGGAGGGAGTGGGGAGTAGGGGACAGAGTTTCTGTTTTGCAAGGTGAAGTTGTGGAGATCAAATGCACAACAATGTGAATATACTTAGTACTGAGCCGTACACTTAGAAATGGGTATGATGGTACATTTTATGCCATGTGTCTTTTACCACAATTAAAACATTAAAAAAATCTTTTAGTATATATATGTATATATATATATTTTTTTTTTTTGAGATGGGAGAGACATGCTTGAACGCTGATGGAAATAATCCAGCTGAGAGGGAAAGACGGATGATCCAGGGGAGTGCTTGGAGACCTAGCGGCATCAGGACTTTGAGAAGGTGAGGGGGGTGAGATTTAGTGAATGGAGGCGGGTGGGTGGGAGGGCTGTGTCAAGGCCGTAGAGAGAAACGGGGACCTTTCATCTATTTTATTGCAAAGCAGAGTACAGTGGCCTGGATTTGGGGCGGGGGAGGATGGATGTGGAGATGGGAACTTACAAAAGGTCTCTTTTGATGGCTTCTAATTTCTCAGTGATGCTGGAAGCCTGAGTGTGAGGATGTAGGAGGGTGTGTTCATGAACTAGGAGGGGGGACAAGTGGGGAATAGGGTGTGGCTGCTGAGTGTGCAGTGGGGTGCATTGAGGGTGCAGTGGGGTGTGGGGAAATGAATTTAAATTCACTGAAATGAATTTAAAATGAGATCAGTCAAAAGCGAGCACCCGGGTTGCACAGGGCTGTATGGGTGCAGATTCTGGGACTCTGGCAAGAGACCAAATGTTAGTCAGAAGCTACAGTTAACAGAGATTTCATCTTATTCTGTGTTTAGCATCTGAAAAATTAAAGGGCGCACCATGTAGCTCTGCTCTGCTAAATACTATAAAAACAATCTCAAAGAAACATCAGTGGTGGGAAGGAGGGGACAAGAAACCTGCTGTGACTCAGTCACCATGACTTTGGCATGGTTCCCTCACCCACCAAGTGTGACAAGAGCTATAGTTACCCTGCCTGTCCTCCCAGGTCGTACTCGTCCCTCTGCCAGTCCTTCGAGGAATGATATGCTGCCCTGCGTGGCTTGCAATGGAGAAGCTGGTAGTGGCAGTCCCCAAGGACTGTGGGCAGCAGGCTCTAGAAGGACCTTGGCTAAGTCCTCCATTACAGGCTTAAAGCCCTCCAACCAACATACAGATAATGTATGTTGGTGGGGAAAAAGCAAGATTTGGCAAGTCATCGTTTTTCCCTCTGTGGTCTTTAAGTTAATCACACAAAGATCCTCGCAATCCTTCCCTAGAAGGATGGTGATGTAACAGCAGTGATGATGGTGAGGGTAGGGATGGCAGCTAAGACTTAGATTGCCGGACACTGTTTCCTGTTCATATAAGCATCGTAACAACCCTAACATCTAATGCTTGCTCACTATTTTAATATTTATTAGAAAAGGATCTGTTTGTTGAACCCACCTCCAAGGAAGTAATACAATTATAGTTGGCTGTTACCTCTACCCATCATTTCTGCTCAGATAAAGCAATTGAAGGAATTAGAATAAGTCAGCTGGTTGCAGGGCAAACCTTCGGCATTCATCCAACCCCTAAAACAACTGCTGGGGCTTTTGAACAAAGAAGAAATCTCACGCAACTGTGGGTGGTATATGACTTTTTAAAAATTCTTCTTGGTAAGAGAATAGATCATCACTAGGCATACCTTTGACCTAGCATGCTGAAATTTTCAGCTCATTGCCTAATATAAAGGAAAAAAGCCTGGCCTAGGAAAGGGAGTCACATATGATTTTAGAGGGCTCCTAAAATAGAAATGAGCCCAGTGGCTAGGAACGTCCTATGGTGTGATGTGGGGCCCCTCTGTCAGGGCCTCTCCTACATGTGGAACTGAGGAGCTCCCAGTATCCCCCAACATACAGGGATGCTATTCTCTGGCAGGACATTTGTCTTTGCCATTGCTGGGTTTGTTT